ATTACGGCCGCCTGTACTCTGGCCCCTCCCAAAAACAAACGATTTTTGGAAAAATCTAGAACGCTTAAATAAAGCGTCCGTTTAGTGGTCGAGTATTAAATAAAGATCCATTAACGCGGTAGGCAAATGAAATGCAATATGTCATAGGTCTTCGAAATCGATATCTCGATATCCTTTAAATGGAATATTGAAATTTTAAATTAGTTAGTAGGGTTAATTACGGCCGCCTGTACTCTGGCCCCTCCCAAAAACAAACGATTTTTGGAAAAATCTAGAACGCTTAAATAAAGTGTCCGTTTAGAGGTCGAGCATTAAAATCCATTAACGCGGTTAGCAAATGAAATGCAATATGTCATAGGTCTTCGAAATCGATATCTCGATATCCTTTAAATGGAATATTGAAATTTTAAATTAGTTATACAAGATTTCATATGGTTTAGTAATGAATAAAAAAAAAGTACTAAGTGAGAAACAAAACCGTTTTTATAGAGTTTGTATCAAACGAAGCAAAGTACAGTTATGAGGATCAGTGCTCTACCCTTAGTAGGCAAAAGTTTTTTGAAGTTCGAAAGGCGACGCCCACATTTAAGCTTGAGATGGATACTAGGAAATTAGGTAGTAAAGCCGATACAACTCTAAAAACGAATAAGAAAAAATAAACAAATATTCCTGTATGTATGTATCTGTATAGCTATATGACAGAACTTCAAAAAATCTGTGACTATAGGTCCAAATGGAACGCAAATTGGCCTTCAGAATCCGATATAAAAATAAAAATACAAATTAATAGCTGCGCTTAAAATCACTGCCATTTAAATATAGTGATTTAAAAATACTCAAAATACCAACGCATTTAATATGTTCATTCTTACACCGAAAATCATAACGCGAACCAAGCTAAAGCCAATTGGCTGCTGCAACATATCACATTTATAACTATGTATTTCATTTTATATATGGATTAAAAGTATCGTTAGGCAAATGCCAAAAATGCAAATACAAACATTTTCGTTTTGTTACACCTACATATTTGGGTTAATTTCTAATTACTAATTCAAAATAATACGTATCCATATATAAAAGCACTGTATATATATGTATATATATTGTATATATATAAATTGTTGCATTTATAAAGCTACAAATGATACTACTAATAAGCTTTTGCCCCTAACTGTAAATATAAGCTCATTTGCAGCCGCTTGACATTTGGACCTTTTATCATATTTTGTTTATTCAAGTGGAACATAAATTTTAGATTACTTGCACTATGTACATATACACACATGTGCAAAATGTCAATACGAATGTTTAAGCGGCTTACAGCGGAAGTTCGTATCAACATCCTGTTATTAAATTAAGTTAAAGGAGCGCATAAGAACTTTTGAAAACAACCCATTGAATAATGGACTTAACATCTCAAAGCAATGATCTGAATACACGAATCTAGAAATATCACTTTTCTTCAACCACAAAGCGCGTGACTGAAACGCTTCAAGGGTCACTATTTCGGGCTTTTTGGCTTAATGATGAAATCTCGGTCGCTCGTGAGATCAGATACCGCAGTATTTCCGTTAAAAATATAACGGTTCAATTCCAAATATGTTTTATTAACGCCAAATATCCAAAGAAGCGGCACCTTTCTCGTAAATAGATATTCCTAACTCCAAATAATTTCCAAAATTCTGAACGCCCAATTACATAGACTGAAGCTAACTCATAGGGTATTCAATATTATTTAATCATATAACGTATAATTAGCCTCCATCGTGACGGAAACTAGTATTGCATATTATACTTGTATATATGCTAAGATAAATTGGAAACAATTAGTGGTTTCACTGAAGTAAGTCTATTTAGACATGGTATGAAGCATTTTTGATCTCCAGAAAATTTTAAACTATCATCACAATGAACTTCGTCGTAGGGTGTTATTTTCAGATTAACCCTCACGTTGCCTTATTTAATGTAAACTAAACTCAACTTAAAGTTATTCAAAGAAGTTACTGATCTATCCCACTATGCTTGGGTATTCGTCATCGGAAGAACTTTGCACTTCTGTATGTAATAAAGCTGAGAAGAATTACAGAAAACTCTGAAAATTTGTTTGATTTTGCGTCAGTTAATTTTGTATGCGGAATTTCAATGACGCTGATTTGTTTCAAAGTATTTTATTTGTGTCTGTTCAATCATCACTCTAAACTGGAATTTATGAAAATATACGATTTAATTGGTATTTTAAACGAATGGGAACACTAAGAAAAATATAAAGAAAAATGTAATAAAAAAATAATATTTGATCACTTTGAGTATTTCTAAAGTATTCTTACACACGCTTCGCTGCACTCTTTTGTAAATTATTGGTTCTGAAAACTGTTTAAGATCTAAAGTTTTCCCAAGTATGAAAAGTAGTCCCTGTTTCGCCAGATATTTTAAAATACTAAAAGTTCTTCGTTAAAAGTTTAGTGTTCTGAGTTAACATCCCGAAACTTAACACATTGACAAATGGATAGTGGATAAAACTCTGTGCAAAATAGAATTTGTCGTCTCCGAACAACACGATGAACGGTGAACACGAAGACTGTGAGGAAGTTTGAATATAAATAACGACTTAAGGAGGAAACTGTACTGTGGATTTAGCAAAAATTCATGAGATAATCAGTGCATCGATGAAAACCAATGACCTTGGGAAGAAGAAACTAATGAATTCTCCTAAGAAACCCGCTGAAACTCATCCTTAATAATATATTCGACAATAAATCATAACAAACTACATAAAAGAGTAATTTTAAAATGGTCACTAGTTTTTAACATATTGTATAGTTATTATATATACAAGTATATATAGTATACATTTATATATTATATATTTATATTAGTACAAATTTAGTTCTCATTACGAGACGCACCGCACGGAGAATATGAAAAAGTCAAGTAAACAAAACGAAAATATTCTCGTTACCCCATGGAGAGCTACTCACAAAATCAGCAGTGGTGTAGCGAAGAAGCTTAACTGCTTGGCGCTACTGCGTTTTATTCGTGTATTGTTATTTCATTGCTGATAATGAAATTTAGAATTCGCGAAGCAATTGCGGTCGATTTAATTGATATTGTTATTATTATTATTTCTGACCACTTTTGTTTTTGTGACTGCCTGTGCTATGAAAAAAATGCCACATTTAGAGGCGATGACGAAATGTCAGACAGTACGGTTTATTCGCATATATTTTTGTATATATATACATGCCCATATAAGAATGGATATTGCCAATTTGGTATAAATAGAATTTTGGGCATGCGCACTCAACATTCCACTTGCAGTTCTCGCACATGTAATAACTCAAAACAAAAACCACTATCAAAATGATGAAATTGGTAAGTTTGGAACTTGAGCAAAGCAAATCTTCTAAGGTTTATGTAATTAAATTATCCTTCTCTTCATCAACTGACAGTTGCTCCTTGTTATAGCCGCCCTCTTCGCTGTTGCAATGGCCGTACCCTCACCAGTGGCTGGTCCCAAACCTGAGCCCAACCCACAATTCGTATATGGCTCGTACCCAGCTGTGTCCTCATATCACTATGTCTACTACGGTATCTGAACTCGGCTGTGACGACGGTCTAATGATTTCCCAAATTAACAATTTCATATTTGGACAACAGCAGTGATATAAATTAAGGGTGTCGCATGTTTTTATTTCTATATTTTTGTTTCGTTTTAGTATTTTGTTAATAATAATTTTTGAATTTGCAAACAAAAACAAAAAAATGTAAGAAAAGTTTCAACTTTTTTATTGTTATAAATATTTGTAGCTTGGATACATTGAACATCAAATGCATGTCATTAGGTTGTAGTTGTCTGATATCAATCTTTCTTAAACTACCGTACCAATAGATATTTGAAGGGCTCAAAATCGTTCGACTGAAACAAGAAAGAACTTAGAACATCATCAATCTAATTCGATGAAATTAGATAAAGAGGTTACTGTGGCTCAGAACTTGTTCTTTGTTTAGGCATAAATACTATATATTGAAAATTATATCCACCGAACCATCGATATTTTAGTAGTAAACCTTGTAGGCGAAATAGTTATCCAGTGAATAAAAAAACTTTCAGGCTCTTCTCGAAACTTACATGCATATGCTATAGAATCTTTCATAGGTGCTTTTATAAAGAACTACAAAAGTCTAGAAAACTATCTAACGAAAAGCAAATTAATAAGCACAGCTTAGTAATTGGAGCCAGAATGGTTGATCTTGACCACCATGGATTGTATATTAATGATTTCACTACCGATTCTTTACGACACAATGACAAAAGACAAAATATTATATGACGACGTGGGCTACTTTTCTTAAGCTCCAGAGACGTTTTTCTCGGTATGAGAGAAATTGCGAACCTTTTTTTTCAAAGAAACTAATTTGAGAAGTTTATGTCTTATTATATTAAAAAATTGAAGTATTAATATATGTATTCATAAATTTATGAGAGAGTGAGAAATGGTTTTTAACATAAGTGGACGAATTTTCACAAATTGATTAATACATTTTTAGGGTTTTCTCATATTTTTATTAGTGCATTTATACAAGTAGTTAGTTCTACAATTATCTCTAGACAACGTCAACCTCCGCTCGCCTCAAGTGACCTGCTTACATAAATCGAAAACAAATTCTCCAAAAGCATCGTAAAACATCTCAAGCCCAAACCATTCCGCCAATGTGCGCAAAAGCGTGACCAACCACTTGGGCAGTGGTGTAATTTCACAGACATCTTCGATCACGTGCACACGCGGTAAGAGCGCTTGATGCAATTTCAACTGTTGATGTAACTGTAACGAGTTAATGGCAATGGTGCAAACATAATTATCGAATAGCATGAAACACTCGATGTTGAAACGCATGAAATCGGTATCATTTTCTTTCTGTAACGCCGATGCTTGTGGTGGTGGTTTCCAGCATAATTCTGGGCGTATATAGATTTTAAATTTGTATGTTTCAGCAAGATCGAAGAAGTTAAGTAAATCCGTATGAGACGGTTCTATGGCATCATTAATTCGATCGATTAGTGTCATTAGACGTACGCCACTCACCGTATGATATTGGCTAACGTCACGTGATTGCGTGCCGCGACGACGAGCGCAAGGCGCCATTGGTTCATCCAATTCTAGATCTATATCTGAGCTACTTTTGCGCGCTATTAGATCTTTAGTTGCATGCTGCGACAGTGGTACTGCCAACGGCAGTTCGCAAATTGGTTGCTGACAACAATCACCATTCAGATTCTTTATAATATTCGCTATAATGGCCGAATTCAATGTGACCGTCTTCAAGTCGATATATTTATTACCCACAATTGTCGCGTACTTCTCGAAAACATTACTCGCTCTCAACTCCGCCAACTCCTGCTTGGTAATACTGGTCATACCGAGGTGTCCCTCATTGTTGCGATCGATTACGTGCAATTTGTAGAGATTATTGTGTTTACTGGCGGGCGTGATAAGCACCACCACATCCGACGGCCATTTGCCGCGTTGCAGCTGCTGTATAATTTGATCCAAAGACGTCTCCATGCGTCTACTGCCGTTCGTATGTTGAGTATCATTTCGTGTTGGCGGTTGTACGTCCACGAGACTTTTGATAATAAGCGGTGGCGCATCGTCCGTAATGATTGTGCTGCGTACGGTGCGTTTCTTTTTCTGTCCCACCGACGTATCCTGACGTTGACGCTCTTTCAGTAATTTCGCACAAAGATCCCGAATGGTGTCGCTCATCGGCGGTATAGAGTTGTTGTTCATATGCATTACGATGGATGAAATTTAACTGTTTTCATATACATATATAATGAATAGGTGAAAGTTTGCTTAATTTATTTAAGGACTTATTCTTAAACGTGTTACGAAAACAAATATACAAAAAAGACAAAATTTTGTTTCATAAAGTGAACCAAAACCGTAAAAAAATACCAAAAAATATTTAATTGTCACGGTACTTTTGAATATTGCTCTATTTCAATTCTCATTGTGATGTGACAAAATTTTGACACTTTCTAAAAATTTTAAAGCGAATTACGATATTCCTTTCTTAAGCTATAACTGTATTTGAAAACCGTGGAAAGAACTATCTGAAAAGATATATTAAGACCAGAACGGAGTCTTACTTGGAAACTTGGGTGACAATTTTTTGAACCTAAAACCACATGATAGCTCTTTAAGTTAAATGGCTTTTCATAGGACTTCCATTTTTCATCCTACAAATATATTCTAGTTTAAAATTGGCAAATACTATAAGAAGAATATTTTAACATGACACCTGTCATCTCAAAAACCTTAATTGTAAAGGATTCTTCTAAAAACTTGAAGCTATTCAAAAAGACCGTCAAAATTCCTACGACCATTTGAACATGGGTTCCATTATATACATTTGCACATAAAGAATACCCTGGCAAATATTTAAAATATAAGAAAATAAGCTTTATTTTATAACAAAATGCAATAAAATTTATTTAAAATTGTAAACAGAAAAACGAGAAATATGTATCATGCAACACACCGAAGAAAAATATTTGAAACACAACTGCGTTTCATACAAAAAACCATTAAACAAAAGCCATCACCGAGTCCAAACTGCGTAGAAAAAAAATCAAATCGTTAGTTCCGATCCCTTTTAACCATAGTAAACATATGGGTATGAGGCATATGGGTAAGCACCATATACGAATTGTGGGTTGGGCTCAGGGTTAGGACCAGCCACTGGAGCGGGTACAGCCATGGCAACAGCGAAGAGAGCGGCAATAACAAGGAACAACTGTGAGATGAAGAGAAGGATAATTTAATTAAGTGTTAGAAAAGTTGTCCACCTCCAGTGCCAAACTTACCAATTTCATCATTTTGATAGCGTTTTTGTTTTGAGTTACTTGTATAACAAGTGCGAGAACTGCAAGTGGAATGCTAACACTGAATGCGTTCAGCGCTTTTTATACCCAAGCGCTCTGTGTGGAGATTTCCGTTAATAAATAATTCTGTCTGACATTTCGTCATCGAACACCCATTTTGGCATTTCTTTACCAACACGAAAGCAATAACAATGTAATAATTTGCAAAAAATTATAATGATCATAAGCATTTAGAACTTGGCTACTACATTATGAGCAGTGGCAGAACCTTAACACCGAAATGAGCTTAGCGAGACAGCAATTTAAGCGTGGCTTCCACACCCCCCGCCTTCGTAGGCCTGTTGAGCATTTCCCATAGTGTTCCAAACTTTCGCTACGTATGTTTTTTTTTCTTTTTTTTTTTAAAGATTTCTATTGATTTTTATTAAATTTAAAATTCTAAACACGTCGCCTGCGGTATTTATTACCCACGGCTAGAAGACGTAATATTTTATATTTGTTTGGAACTCGATATGTATACACATTTGTATACAAATACACATTTGTATACATATAACCACATCAAAGCTTATGCTTTTTATTACTTCATGCCATTTTTGTGCAATAATCCGCGTATCTCCGGGAATATAGCATGTATTTAGTGCCCCTCATAATCCCCTTCGTTCTGCCGTCAGTGCTGGATGACAAAAAAATTCAGCAGAACTGCTTGTTGTGTTGCTAATCAAAATCTGTCATATTATTGTCATATATTTGACACATTTTTTTGGAGTTCTGTGGTGGAAAAAGTGTATCAAATAATTTCAATTGTTACAAAGAAGTTCTTAAATATTCATTATCTATTTATAAGCGCTAATTGTGAAGAAACTGGTTTGGCATACATGTGTGCCTACATGTTAAGGTCATTCATGAAGTTACCGAGGAATGGTTGAATGATGAAATAATTAGACTGCGCGCATTGGTTACCAGAAAAACTATTAGCGGAAGGACGGACTCATCATGGTGTTGTTAAAACAGAGATTTTTAGATGAAAAAATGTGAGAGAAGCACATTGATTACTTGTAAGTCTACTCTTGAAGAGGTCAGATATAGAATTTAAGTAAAGTTGAAACTTGAAACTTTTTTGCATAATAGTCAGCTTTCATCAGAAATCAGAGCCCTAACCGAGCACTTTTCAAGAAGTCTGTTAACAAAAAATTAATAAAGAAATAATCCGGTCATAGAAGTATAAAAAATTGTATATTTAAGGTTGAGCAGGCTTGGGTGTAGCGATGTAGGCATTTTAGTTCATAATTGTCATGTTGTTCTTTGGTAATGTGAGCTACAGTCAGAGCCCGATGCTTCATGAACCTCATTCTACAGAAGTAAAATATTCAGACATCAGTGTTCTCATACACTATGTGCCAAAAGCAACACGTAAATTTAAAAGTGTTAAATTAGACTGAGAACTTTCCTTTCGTGGTTTCAGATAGCTGTCAATGATTATGTGGCACCTAACCATTTTAAAGTAGATAAGCAGAAAGTAAAACTGAGAATATCCATGTGCTCATTATTTGAAGTAAAGCCTGAGATTCAGTTTATTTTCCGTAACGTTACATATTTGTGCGAACTTCAAATGTATATTTGGACTCATTTTCTTTAAATATTGCTTAAATATTTTTTAAAACGAGATTCATCGTTTGGAAAGTAAGTGTTTTTTAAGTAAATATCTAATTGCGACTCTTTCTAGTTTTGAAAACTAAAGAACCCGTGAAAGAATAAACATTTACTTTCAAAACTGATTTGGTAGATTTCAAGAATAAACCGAAATGAAGATTGAAAGAAGCGTTTAAGGATTAGATAAGAGATCGACAGTAATATTCATTGATTTAGAAAAAGTTTAAGGTAAGAAAAAACGAAAACTTCAGTTGCAACAAAGCTATAATACCCTTCACAGATACAAAGGTTATTTAAAAAAACTTCCGATCTAATTTCGTGAAGATACCTCGTCAAATAAAAAAGTTTTCCATGCAAGCACTTTACTCCGATGGTTCAGTTTGTATGGCAGCTATATACTATATTGGTTCGATAGCTTCTTAGTGAGGAAAGGACACGTGCAAAATTTCAGATCGATAGCTTAAAAACTGAGAGACTAGTTCGCAGACGGACGGACAGACAGACAGACATAGCTAAATCAACTCAGCTCGTATTGCTGATCATTTATGTATACATTTTATAAGGTATCCGAGGTCTCCTTCTGGGTGTTACAAACTTCGTGGCAAACTTAATATATCCTGTTCAGGCTATAAAAATATCAACTTACTTTATGAACACACCTCATAATTCAAAAAAAAAATGATGTAACATCGAAGCACGCTGCTCTGTTTAATCTTTCTTTACTATTAAAGGGTCTAAAAAAGATCATAATGGCATTGATATCTTAGTAAGGAGTAAACCGAATTCTCCAACAAATTTCTTTTTCTTTCCCTTAAAAAGCGGATACACCTATTTTTCGGTTCAGCTTATTTTTTATTCCCTGCTTTAGCAAAAATATTTATACGAAGGGTTGCAAACTTGGTGTGGAGGTTAAATGAGGGAACCTTATAGTTTATACTAATTATTTGTTGTTACTGGCTAAAGCAAAAAGGTTTTAATAATTGGGTGGTAACTCAAAGACTTTTTATCAAAATAGTTGGTGGCTCAAAAATATTTTCATAATTTAAAGCAAATTATTTTGAAATCGTTTGATTTTCAAGCAATATATCATTTAATGCCGGATATGTATACGCTTACTACCAGCTGGTATTTCCTGAAGTTCATATAAATAACATTTGATGTTCCAACAGTTATTTGAATGCAGAAGTAGATATTCTGTATTCTCGCATAATGTAAAAAATTAGCAATGCAAGCATTTAGGAGTCATGACTAGCACGCGAATGAGCTTGGATGATACAGATAACGTAATTTTTTAATAAAAAAAATGTCTAGGTAAATAAAACGTATAAATTAACAAATTTAAATATAGAGCATTTGTTTTTGGTTTATTTTCAAAATTACTGGCTGCTATTTAAATAGATATATTGCTCATTAGGTTTCTTAGATATTATCATTATTATATTTTCTTTTCACCTTTATAGCATTTCATACAAAAAAATTAAGCTTATTTATTTAGCGGCTAGCTCATTAAATGACAATTAGAATTTCATTCAAAAAAACGGGAGCGGTATGGAATTATAAATGTTCAAATACTTTTTGTAGCTCTTGCAGCTAAATATGTACAAACAGTTGTATATATTATATATCTACAATATGTACATACTTGTACATATGTATACACTGAAATTTTTATCCACTGAATTTTACCAATTTCTAAGCCCCTCTGCAATTGTCATGCATAAGGCGTACTTTTTCCACTTTTGCTTTTCTTTCTTATTTGGTTTTGGTTCTAAAATTTTATTTCTCCAATTTTTGTTTTGTTGTTGCTTGTGGAGTGTGGGTGGTTGGTTACGTGTTTAGAAAGGTAAGTAAAGTTAAAAGTTTACTTATATCTTTATATTTGTATATATTTTTCTGAAGTACAGAAGACTGTATAGCAGAAGGTGCGGGATAATACTCAATAATGAACACTGATTGCTCGGACAGCCGGCAGCGCCGTGCCGAATGTGAGTGAAGGTCAACAGCGAAGATTTTATACAGCTAGTATTGTTTTTTTTTTTTAAATATATCTTTTATATTAAATAATTAGTCAACAGAGAAATGTCTTATTAATTTTTTAAGGAATTTCGTAGAAAATATTTTTGGTGGTATAATGGAAGCCGATAGCACGTAGAAAGAAAGTAATTAAACAAAAGTATAAACATATAAATTTAAAAAATATAGAACAAGAAAAAAAATGTTAGCACGTTGGACCCATTTCCAAACCTCATATTAGCTTGATCTACCATATGTATCATATATCTAAAATGCCTACTTTGGAACATTAAGACAATCTCCATAATATCCAAAATAACGAATTTAAAGCCAATTAACCAAACGGCAATTGATAATTAGGAAGAAGTCGGTCTAATTCAAGCATTTTAGATATTTCTTATGCTGATCGATGCTCCGGTTTTATCGTTTTTAGTAACGAATAACGTTATACTTGGGGAAACATTGTTGAGATATCTCCCAACCTGAACGATATAAATATTCGTAACCCGTATAGGACAAATATGAACTCATACCACAAATCGTTGGTACCAAACTACATTGTACTGATCGGAACCTAGATCTATAACTATATTCGTGCGGTTTGCCAAGACTGGTTATCATTCCGTTGTTCCAATATTCTGAACATGCGTTGGAAAGCTATTGTCTCTGTGCACTGGTGATTTTGGCTTGGAAATGGAAAATGTAGAATGTCCTGGTTGGCTAAAAAAGTTTGAAGATGAGGAACTGGAACCAACACTCGATGAAGATTGTTGCTAAACACAAGAAGAACTCGCAGAATTTTTGGGAGTCACTCAAGCAGCTATTTCAAAAGGTTTGAAATAAGACGGATACATTTGAAAGCAAGGAAATTTGGTGTCATATAAATTTAAGCCATGAGACGTTGAAAGCTGACTTTGTATATCAGAAATGCTGTTTGAATGCTAGAAAAAGAAGCTGTTTTTGCATCGGTTTGTGACTGGTAATGAAAAGTGGATCCACTAAGAGAACCATAAGTGCAA